CCCCTCTCTTCACCCGAGTGTCCAAGACATACGGCCAGAGGTCAGATGAAACAACCACAGAGTCGATCATCAACCTCTGGCCTAGGGTGTCCTGGTGCCACATGCACTGACGGACACCCTTATGCCTGAACATGGTGTTTGTTATGGACAAACTGTGACTAGCACAGAAGTCCAATAACAGAACACTACTCAGGTTCAGATCGGGGGTGGCGTTCCTCCCAATCATGCCCCTCAAGGTGTCACTGTCATTGCCCACGTGAGCATTGAAGTCCCCCAGTAGAACAATGGAGTCTGCTTTAGATGTAAATCAAATGAGGATGATCAGCTAAAGCTGCAGAGACAGGTAACCATAACCTCATAAATTCAGAGAAAGGTCACTGTACTCACCATAATGTGGGATTATAGCCCAGGCCATAGCAGATGCATATATTCCACCAATCATCCAGAACATGCAGAGCCAGCTGAGGTGCTCGCCACGCTTTTCTTGGGACAGAAATTCAGAGTAGAAGGAAAACACGATGGGAATGGAGCCACCGATTCTGCAAAGATCAGAAACTAACTGAGCCCAGAGTTGATCTGTTCCTGTGTTTAATGGCAAAGATCCTGAGATGCGCAAGGATGTTAGGCTGTCAGATTAAAATCATTTTGTATTTAGAAGCTAAAGGTAACCTTATTTATTTTATATAAAACAACATGAAACATCATAAAACTGATATACCTGGCTATTTAGTGACTATAATAATAAGTATAGAAATATAATAAAAACATAAAGTATAATAATAATAGTATAACAGATATGACAGACATGACTAATTTGACCAAATGTGGAGTCTCAAGTATCCACTTCACTACACCAGAAAAGCTGCTGGATATAAAGACTCTAATGCAATAAAAGCATTTCATTTTGTTTCCCTTGGACCTGCTAGACTACACAAAAAAATATGACTCCCTGTAAACCAAAGTGATAGCAATGTTACAATAATAAAATAACTGTCAAGTTTGATCAGGAATGATGGCAAAATATAGAAAAACATGGCCCAAATTTTAGAAAAGGATATTAGTTTTTTCAAATTACCCAACACCAGAGAGCAGCCGGCAAAACAGAAAGGTGCTGTAGCCCTGAACGAAGGAGGAGAAGAAAGAGAAGATGCTATTGATGGAGAGACAGATGAGAAGAGACTGCCGACGGCCTATCCGGTCAGCCAGAGCACCCCAGAGGAAAGCCCCAACCATCATCCCAAAATATACAATGAGACCTGTGGAGAGAGCAAATACAAATATAATACATCATGTTTCTTACTGCCAACAAATCCTACTAAAACACTAAAATCAACAATAAGTCCTTTCTGACTTCACTGCCACAGCTGTGGCACTTGTTCCGTTCCTTACTGAAGATGTAAATCTTTAAAAATAGATCACAAATATTTAAAATCTTTTTTTTTTTATTCAGGAATGTCCTTTCTTCTCTTTTTAAAGCAAATTATACTAGAAGGTGAGTAAATAATGCATGTGATGGGTTTCAATCATGGATTAAGAATGTCCTTTACAGTTTTCTTATAAACCTTAAGGTCATTTTCCTTCATAAAACACTTGCAAAGTTGACTTTAAGACTGACACCTGCAAAATGTATATCCCTGCTTCTTCCCTATCTTTGTTGGTACAATGCTGTATTTTTAGGAGTTTCCTAAAATAAATGGCAGGACAGTATATTGCATTACTAGTGTGCATGACCATATACATGTGTTAAAAACAAAAAAAAGTGACGCACTTTTTAAATCATTGCTTCGTTGCTACTAGTGCTCAAAACCTCCACAGGGTTAATGCACATTTGGTACTCTGGTGAGTGTTTCCAGGACAATGTATGTGGGCTTGACTCAAAATAAAGCACATTACATATGTTCATTGGCATGTCACCAAGAGCAATAGTGTGACTCATTTATATTTTTAATAGTTTTCGGACAACAACTAAAGTCTGTGGTTCAAAGGAATAAGATATATCAAGCTCTGACTACAGCATAATACAGCATAAATCAGTACAAAAGAAGCAGGAGACACAATCACCTGTTAAGGAGTCTTACCTAGCATGCTTTTGTTTGGTTCAGATAGGCACATATCTTTCTCAGCACTGGGGAGGACAAACCCGACAACAAAAATCTCCACGCCATCAGCCATGAGTGCAAGCCCCAGCACAAAGTACAGGGTCCACTGGAACTTCCCGTGACCGCATTCTTGCAAAATGGTCTCGTACTGCTGAGCCAGCTCCTCCTGGTCCTTCCTCCTCTCAGCCTCGGACACTCCAATATCTCTGAACTGCTGAGCGCCGGCTCTCACTGACCCCGGGCCTCCAGCCAGGCTACCTTTGCCGGAATCAGCCCTGGGGATTCCTTGGTACTCGCCCTCATAGATCTCATCATCCTCATCGTGGCCCTCTGTGGAGTCACTGTGGCCACCATCATCGTCATTGGCTGCCTGGCTGTCTCCACGGTAGTAGCCTCCATCCTGGCTTCCCTGCATGGGATATTCATCATCATCATCCTCTTCAAAGCGGCTGTAGGAGCGCTTGCTGTACTCATCAGTCACCCGATCCACTGAACGGCCAACCTTCTTACTGGCTTGCCGCCTGACTTCTTTCGCAATGTCTTTGGCACCTTTTATGAAGGCAGTCCGGTTTTGGTAGTTCTCTTCCATTTTAAAGAGGTTCAGAAGATGCAAAAATGGTCAGAGACTGTGAAAAGAGGCCCCCCTGAATGTGCTGGCACTTCAGTTTGTTCACCTCACAGAATTGCAGACTTCCCTCCTGGTTCGCCTGAATGACAAGCGGCTCTCTTCTTATGTCTGAGGAGAAAGTGCTAATATAAATTAGTCAACTGAATTTTTTTTCTGTAATGATTCAGTCATATAAACGTACTCTTGAAAAGGTCCAGGCTATACTAATGAAGGCAGAAAGCATCAGTGTACATTTCTGGCGACCTATTTCCATGGATAGACTACTGAACAGACCCAGGGGTTCAAGGGGTGAGGAGACCTCTGGGTCAGAACCTGCATTTGAAGTGACAGGTAACATTTCTTGTTGTAAATATACAATATGACAAAGGGTTGCATGACATTTACAAATAGATGAAACATTTCTACAAAAAGATGCAAAATGCCCAGAAGCAGATGCAAAGATACTGGTCAGAGATACGAAACAAATGAAGCTTGGAACTGAGAAAAGGCAGCCAGGAAATCAATGTCTGTTTCACATCTACTGAAGTGTCACATCTTTGAAAAACAAGTATCCTGAATAACATTTAAAGGCACTGACTCATATAGCTAGCAATACCCTTACTGACATGCTTCATGTATCACGAGACTGTTTGCCTTGGGTCGCCATGCAATAAAGCAATGCCACTTTAAATTTGTGGTGCAGTGAAACACAGGCTGAGCACTGCAACAATCGCTCGTGTTTCAAGAGCAAGGTCTGACAGGTAATAATGGGACTGAACGTCTGTTAGTTTCCATTCTAATGGAGAAGTACTAAACCCTTCATTACATATTCAATTATTTAAATGTGTTTGGACTAAAAACAGCCAAATTTGAATATATTATTTTGCCTGCTCTGAAGAATAAGCTAAATGTTTTTATTGCCCATTAGAGGAGGTGTGAAATGTTTGTCTCCAGAGCAAATCATACAAGATATACCAGACACCTACAGTTACACTTAATAACACCATCAACACCCTACATCAAAGGACAATAATAACTGTTTAATAATGAATTTGTTCAGTCACACCAGTAAAGTGGCATTTTTGAGTGTTAAAAGATGCACTTAAGACAAGTTTGACATAAACTCTGCTACTTTTTATAGATGAGTGAGACAAGACTGAACAAATCTAAGTATCTAATTTGTGGAATGCTTACATTTAAGATTTTTCCAAGTTATTGTGCATATATTGTTTTATGGAAGCAATTAAGCCTTCCATAACACTTATGATCATTCTCAATTATTCTGCCAAATATATTCATTTCTGTAAGTTGACTAATTGTTTCAGCCCTAGATACAATAATCCAAGACATATAGAAGACCTATACCACCATCTGTATCAATGCAGACATTTGGTTCAGTCATTTATTGTATGGTAAATTCCACTCCATCATTTCCACTGTGGTAAATTCCACTCCATCATCTCCACTGTCAACATGATGGGGAGATTTACTGGCACAGATCAAAGGACCCCCCCCGCCAGGACTAGTCAGCCAGGCTAAACTGACACTAACCTAATAATATCTCAGACTAAAGCACTTAGATGCTCATAATCACTGTACCTTAGAACACAAATGCAAGAGCCTGTGCAAAATAATAAGACCACATGGGGCCATGAGCAAACAAGCAAACAGAGCTGTTTTATTTTAAAGCCCTCATACACATGTTCAACCTGCACGTGTTCTCACTTCTAATTAGACCTCAGCACACGCTTGTTTTTCCTTCACTTTGTTGTCAACATGCTTTTTTCAGAGCAGGCATTTTGACTCACTATGGCATAGGAAAGGCACAGGTGTCACTGATAGTGTTAACAATGGCTTAGTTCTATTTAAATATCTCAGTAAGCAACAGCTGCCACAATGAACCATCATGCACAATACCAGGACCTTGAAACTAGAGCAGCTAAATGGAATTCAGCCATGAGTAAATTTGTTATTTAAACCCGTGAGCATCCTGCTATGACACACAAATGTGTGGTGAGGAAAGGGGCTATTGGCTGGGAATAACTCAAATCATCTCGTAGATTGGCAAGTTTGCACACTACAGGAAACAAAGCTCCAAGTCCTCATTAATTTCACAGAAAGATAAAAAATGAATATAGTAATAAATACATAACACCAGTAAGTCTCTGTAGGAATATTATAAATATCAACAGCAATAAATCAATAAAGTGTTTTAAGGCAGTTAATGCATATTACAGACATGCTACATGTCTCTTTAGATTCATTTAAAAAAACAAATACAAAACAAACAAAAAGATGGCACTCGGCCAGCAAAACAGACTGTTTTGGCTTAGATAGATAGATAGATATATATATAGATAGATAGATAGATAGATAGAACAGGTTTACCTTATTCCACAAAGAAACGAAAGATAAAGACTAGTAAGGCTCAAACCAACGCTCAAAGCTCACTCTTTCACTTTTTCATTTCACCCCTTCCCATTTCCTTGTCAGGTTGACAGCATCTATGGCCCCATGCTGCCTACAACACACAGCTCTGCCAGTGGAGAGAAAACGAAGGCCTGAGGATGACGAGGATGGAACTTATTGTTCCCTGGTCTCCAAAACCACTCCACTCCAGAATCAGTCAGCATCAGGTTACCATTTCCTCACAAGGCCGAGCAGAGCAGATAGCCATCACATTATACGCACTTAAGCTCATCAAAGCACTGGGAGATTTCTATGAGGCGTCAAGTGTCGTGATGAACAATCTGGCCCCCATATATAAGGAAATGTGAATGCAAGAATCCGATTAAATGCGTGCAAATTTACTCCTCCAATCCAGTCATAATTGTCTTTATATGAAAAGGGCCTTGTCAGTTACAGGCCAATTAACAAGCCTATACAAATAGGCCGGATTAAAATAAAAATCTGTCACTATTACAAGATGATTATCTGCTGCATCCTGACATCTGTGCTCTTTCATAGCCATCGCCACCAGCAGCTTGCCAACGACTTGTATCAAATTATAGGCTCACGTCTCAATTCACAAAATCGATCCTAAACGATGAGTGAAGACGACGATTGGAGAACACGCCCATCGTCTGTTCCTCATGATGTTTAATGCAAAAAAATCCACCATGAACAAGACGCGCCATCAACCACTGAAAGTTCGTTATGATTCGCGTTAAATTTGAGCTCACCTTAATCCCCGCGGTGTGAGTGTTCCTCTTCAAGCCTGGAAATGGTGATAATGAGGATGAGGAGGAGGATGGGGATGATGATGCGAACGAGGCTGTTGCTGTGAACCAAGTGATGATGCTACTGGTTTGGAGGAGAGAAGCCCACGCCATCCACACACACTCGGCGATGCGCAGGAGTCCCCGCCTCCATGCAAACCTTCACGACTGCTCGAGCACCGTAACGCCTTCATATCTGGGGGGTTTGGCGTATTTCTGCACACCAACTGCGCTCATTTCCCCCAGCTTTACTTCTTAGACGCCTTTAAACTCGTGCAGTTCGCGTGTTTCCGCTATCTGAAGGCAATCAGGCTAATGATATGTTTGGGTGCCAAACCTTTCGACGCTGATCCGTTTCTAAATGCACACTTTTGTGTATATCAACGCACAAATAGATGAATGTTTGTACACATTATCATACTGTGCACACACAACAACAAATAGATGAATGTTTGTACACATTAATATCATACTGTGCACACACAACGCACACGTGCAAGCACACCTGACTCCTGTTGCCATGCCAACAAGTTGCCATATTCTTGATCCCTTTCAATACCTGTTATAAAGAAACTAAGCTTTCAGTACCATACTGATAAAATTTCTCTAAATGGTTTTTATTAGTCACATTAGTTGTGTAATGTGCAGGAACAGGACCTTTGTTCAAAGATCAGTCAGTTGTAAAATCTTTTTAAAAATCCCATCTGTGGGTAATATGTTGGAAATATAACTTTTTTCTTATAACAGGAAATGGCCTACAACACTCTTATGTAGACTGTGTATGAAAACAGCTGGCTATTCCAATCTACAGGTTCGAGGATCTTAATCCACAGGTGTGGTTTGATAATGCAAGATATTTCCACATTTAGAAAAATGTTTTATACCATGTCATTTAATCTAGGGGGAGCAACATGTCATGGCCTATTCCGTATACTAGAGAGAAATAAACTGCGACACAGCGGTTAACACCATCACCTCACAGCAAGAAGGTTCTGGGTCCCAGGGGCCTTTGTGTGCAGTTTGCATGTTCCCCCTGTGCCTACTTGGGTTCTCTCCAGGTACTTTGGCTTCCTTCCACAGTCCAAAGACATGCAGCTTAGGTTGACTGGTGACTCCAAACTGCCCGTAGGAGCGAATGTGAGGGTGAGTGGTTTTCTGTACATGTCAGCCCTGTTATAGCCTGGCAACCTGTCCAGGGTGTACCCCACCTCTAGCCCAAAGTCAGCTGGGATAGGCTCCAGCCAATCCCGTGACCCTATTCAGGAATAAGTGGTATAGATAATGGATGGATAGATGCTCTTAGCCAGTGATCAAGATAGTAAAAGTCCTACATTGTTACTGTTATTTAAGAAGGTAAGAAAATTGGCATAAACATTCATCTGCAAAGCTTGATAACTGATCCTCACACTTGTTCTGGCCAAAACCTCCACCTATAAACAAAAAATGACAGATTGCATTGGCTTTTTACAAGTGGACATTTTGACTTGTAGTGTAATAAAGTAAAGAAAACCCAGACAATAACATTGATGGCTAAGTAAAATGAAGCTATTCTGAATTAACACATTAACATTTTCTTCTGTGGCATGACAAAATGTCTGTCCTGAAACATGCCTAAAAGTGAAAAGGTAACATTTACAGGCGAGGAAAAGAAACCATCCTAAATTTGTACTAAAAGGTTTATTTGTCAAAGGTTTTTCCATCTGTACAATGACCAAAGAAACAATACGAACAGGTGGTTAAATTATTTTCACAATTACAACCTTGAGTAGATTGAAAACTGTATTTAAAAAAAGAAAACATACTCAGACTCTAGTTTTTTTTTTGCAATCTGAGCCGGATTATGGAGGCATCGGTGCTCTCATAGGAACACGTGGTGGGGCACCAGGGGGCCTTGGGGGCATTGGAGGTCTCTGGAAGCCAAACGGAGGAGGACGAGGGGGGCCAGCACCATAGCCAGGTGGAGGCATGGGAGGAGGAGGCCCTCTCAAACCTGGAGGCTCAGGGGGACCTGAGAAAGACAAAACGGGGCCACATTAACATAAGAACATTGACGCTCTCTACACAGCTACATGTAACCACAGTAAACAGTCACAATATGATGATCCTAATTTCTGTTGCTTTCAGGTCATCAGCTGTCAAATAACGTGCCTTGTTCTATGAAAGATGTTACTACAATTCTCTCATGACTGTTAAGTGTTTTCAGTATTAGAAGTAGTTTGACTATGGTGAAATTGTCAAAAAATTTACAATACTAAGCAACATTTATGAATAGCAAGCCTCTACATAGTAGCTAATTTGTCAAGGTAGTCACGGCAACTGTGTACAAGTCAATACTACAAATCATTAAATCAATATTTCTGCAAAACACTGATGTAAAAGAAAGGTTATTGACACCAGGAGTTCTTTACAGACAATAACGTACTGAGTGAATTATAAATTTCTTTCAAAAGGATGGACAGGCAGTATTCATGAGCTGAAAAGACCTCCATTTGACAACAAAGAGCTGCAGAGCTTACCCATGGGAGGTCCATACGGTACTCTGGGTGGCATGCCCATTGGTGGGGGTGGGGGCATGCCAGGGGGTGGTGGTGCCCGTGGCTGATTTGATCCTGGAGGAGCAGGAGGTGGAGGCACCATGCCAGGAGGAGCAGGAGGTGGCATGGGCATCTGAGGCATACCTGTGTGAAAGAAAACAGTACTGTAACATGTTCCATTATCTGCTGCATTACAAATGTGTTGCAATGAAATAAAGGTGTACTCAAACAAAGAGAATACAGGAACACACAACTGCCATTTATGGTCAGTAGAGCTTTTTAACTAGCAAAAAGGTCTTATCTTTACATTGTTTTCAAAATCTAGCCATGACCATGCAGTTACAGTGTCCACATCTTAAACCCCTAAGCAACCAGTGCACCCATCGTGTCTAGTACAACTATAACATCAATTACAGAAAATCTGAGGACACAAAGCTCTATTACACATATTGAACCCGTCAGTATTTTGCTGCATAACTTGCGACTTGCAGCCATGCTGGAAACAGTTTATCCTCACCTGGATGCATGTTGCCTGGGGGGAAAGGCAGTGGTCCGGGCGGTGGTCCACCAGCACCAGCCTGTGGGACTGGTGCCCCTACAGATGGAGGAATGGACATAGCAGGGGGCATTGCTGGAGGCATCGCTCCCAGCGGAGGAACAGGAGGGAAAGCACCAGGAGGTGGAATGCCTGCACAGAAACAAGTTGTATTTAAAGGTCATCATTCCATATTTTACCAGTACACAACGCCAAGCTATTTTACTGATACATTAATTCACTTCAGTTATCATACACTACAACTTTATACATTTTATTAATATCTTATAAAGGGGACTCATTTCTCAGGTGTCATGTTACTTTTCATTTATAAAGATCACTCAAGATGAAATCACTCACACCATCACCCAGTGACAAAATCTGCATCAGGCAGAGCAGGATTCTACTTCATCTGTTTGCCAGTTATTAAAACCTCTTATCTAGAATATAACTGTTTAGAGGCAGCTGTAAAAGGAGGGAGCCCATGAACACACTATACTGTGTATTTTAACATCTAGCATGAATAATCTCTGTACTCCAGTCATACCTGGTATGGGCATCCCAGGTCCCATTGCGGTCAAGACTGGCGTTGGAGCTGTTGGTGGTGGCGGAGCATCTGCAAACAGCTGGTGAGGCCTGTCTGCCTGGGAAAGAGGGTTCTGTGCAGCCAGAAGTCGCTCTGCAGCCGAGCCATGTCGTTCTCCTTTAGAATCCTTCTTGAAGGCATACGACACTGTGATGGGCCTGTTGCAGAGGTACTGGCCATTCATGGCCTCAATGGCAGCATCCGATGCGTCAAAACTTGCAAAATTGATGAAAGCATAACCCTTGGAATTGCCTGTGTCTGGGTCTCGCATGATCTTTGGTGTTTGGAGGATCACACCAAAGGCACTGAATGTGTCATACAGCAGTTTCTCATCAATCTCTGGGTCCAGGTTACCAATGAAGATGTTTGCACCAACATCCAGGTTTTTGTTGTGCGCTGAGGCCTTATTAACTCGAATTGGTTTGCCATAAAGCTTTATCATATTCATGATTTTGATCGCATAGTCAGCATCCTCTTCACTAAGGAACTCCACAAAGCCATATCCTGAGAAGGGAGTAAACGAAGTCTCATGTTTGTTAGTTATACTGCCACAGAGATTCATAAGGAACACAAGGACTTTCAGAGGTTTTATACTCCGCTGACTGAATATACCGTACATCAGCTAATACTCACCTTGATGCTGGCCAGTGACTCTGTCTTTGGGCATGTGTGTGTTGACCACGGGACCAGCCTGCAGGAAAAGCTCCCATAGTAACGGCTCTGACACCTTCTCATCCAAGCCGCCAACATATACAGTAGCGTCTGAAAAACAAAATGAGAATAGGTTTGTTAGCTAGCTGGCACCCTAGAACACGCACTTTCAAAATAATAATGACCAGAACCGCAAAACAGTTCCACACAGTGACACTAACAGCTTGAACAGTTATGGGTAAAATGATACTTTATTGTGCAATAATGATGCCCTGGCTACAGAATGTAAAAGTAAATGTGAAAACAGTTATTGAATAGAAGGCTTTGGTATTTTAGTTCTTAGGGAGAAAAGGTTAACTACTCTGTTGAAATTACAGCTATGACAGACATAACATGAATACTAATCTAAATATCCAGATAACACAGGAACGTTACTAATCATGAAGTTTCCTGGAACATTGGTTATTTTTTTGATAAACTTTGGCATAAAGTGTGGTGCTTGTGTTTACAAAGACTGTAACGGAGCCAGATCAGGGGTGTTTGAATTTGCTGACACATCCTAATGAGGCAAACATCGGAAAACAACTCGTAGGTCCGTTAGGTAACGTTATTAATAAATAAATATATAAACAGAAATAGTTATACTTATAATAATGGCGTGTTCTCAGTGACCACACTAGCATAGGTTTACAAACTACTGTATGAAAGCACCTGGGAAGCCACTCGAAGTGTTATGACAAAACTATCCTATATAGAAGCTAAAAGCACTTTGTTCACATTAGCTTGCTAGGCTAGCTGCCAACACAACGTGATGAAAACGTCTTCTGACATGGTAATATTTCTAGTCACCTCACTTATGAAAACAGTCATAAATCTGCGCTTCATCTGGCTTGTTCTGCAGTAAGTCGGTAAACAAAAGCAATATTAAGTAAAAGAAGTGGCCTTAACGACTAAATTAGCAGCAAGCCAAGCAAACGACGCCTGAACGCTTCCATGTGTGTGACCTGTTGTTTACCACCAACTAACAGCTAACCGGGCGGCCAACCGTGTTCAAAGAACTAGTTAAGTAGCGTGAAACGTAAGTCACAAGAAAATTTATAAATGACTAAATATGTGTATTTTAATATTACCTTGGTTTCTTTCTGAAATTGGTCCCGCTGCCATGTTAAATGAACAACGGAAGGCAAGCGCCCTAAATCGACGCCCCGCCTCTTCCTGCTTGTTCTTCCTATGATGTTTATTGGCATTTGCAAGCCAACGTAAGGTGCATTACCGCCACCTGCTGGGCGCCTCTTCCTGCTGCGTACCAGAAACGGAAGTAATGTAGTAGAATAAATAAAAAGTCATGAATAAAATAACATCTATTTTTTAAGTTAGCGATTTAAAAACGTGTTCATTCCAACTTAAAGATGTGGAAAATGTATTATTGTTGTTCTTTGAACACAATTTACCATATAGAAAAAATTACAGTGACTTTTATATAGACACCTTTAGTTTGGTCTAAGTAAGTTTTGGTAGCACTTAACAGAAAAAATTAAATCTTAATTACATCAACGTAATTAATTTTAGAATAAAAAATAAAATACATGCCATGATGCATAAATATTTTGAACAATTGCTAACACATTATTAATCTTTTTTAAGCTATTTTCTTGTAGCTAGCTATTTCAAGTTCCTTCACTGAAACACAGCTGTTTCAAATGTGATAAAGCAGAGTGTATGCTTGTATATTTATATAAAATGCGTAGATGCATTTGTAAAGGTCTGGGGAAAGCATTTTATAATTAGTGTAAACTATACTTTATGCCATTAAACCATTACCAATTATCTATTTAGGTCATACATGTTACAGCCTATAGGTTTGTGTAGGCTACCCACCTTTACTAACCAGTGCAACAAGTGATAGTAAATATGTTAATAATTAATGAGAATGAATAAACATTTGGATCAGCCAGTTTATTACCTCATATAAATCTACTAGAAGTATAAACATGGAATACAAAATGTTCATAGAAAATACATACAATTAGAGCTATCAGAAACAGTTAAAAACAATACTGTATAGAATATGAAACAAATAAAAGCAGAACTTAACACATGCATTAAAGCCAAAGGACAAAAACCCCCAAGTATTTTTGTTTCATTAAATGGATAGCAAAAAAATATATATATAGTGTTTATCACCGATAATGATAATGAAGAGAGCTCAGAGATTAACACATATTCTTCTTGTTGCAGGTGATTGAGAGCCATTGTACCAGAGTCAGACTCCTTGTGTGTTCAACATTCTTGGCCAAAATCTGATTCTGAGATTAATGGCTTATAGTCATAAATCACATGTACATCAAGCATCTAAATTAGAAACAATGCAATGCAAAAATACACAATCAATTCAGCTGCAGCATGAGTACACCAGCAGTACAGTATGTTCTGGACTTGAAATCAGTATATGGGGTGATACAATCACTGAAAATTATCATCTGTTGAAATTCTTTGAGCTGTTTACTTCAAAATGTAAAGTCAAACAAAAGTAAAAAGGAGTATGAGAAATAACAGGGCTGCATTCAAGCTGCAAAATTGTGAGGTCAAAGTGTGCATTATATGATTTCAACTGTCTATTTATACATTTCAGTATCTGCTGAAGAGAGACAAAATTGATTAGAAACATTTTTTTTTTTTACTGGTGCTGCACATATATTCCGCAGGCTGAGTACCAATATATATTGATTATAAATGTATAACAAATGTAGTTTAACAAATCCTTTTTAATATATTGTAAGAGTACTAAAGAATGCATTCTCTAACTATCGTTACATGTAATGACAAAAGTTTTTTTTTTTTTTTTAGTAGCACCATCTTTTAAAGATCCCATTAAATCAATGTTGACTATTTAAGGGTTTCATGCTACCAATTCTATAAAGGCACAGAGAAGAGATGCAGAAATAGAATAATAAAACTGGTCTAGCTTTAACTCCATGCTTCTTTCTTTTGTATTTTTATTTGCCATCACCTCAAATTTTATGTAATGATTTTCTGCTGTTGACAATCTGGTATTCAGCAGCAAGAATGAGCCCTCCCCCCCGTTGTTTAAGTTGCCTAAGTGCCTAAGTCACTGCCCACATTTCCTTCCAGAAAGAACAATTAAACTCTCAATTCCAATACACAAGGTCTTCAAAAGGCTACTTGTTAAAATGACTTAATCCTTATATTATAATAAAATAAATTTTAGACAGGCAGACAAATATAAAGGTATCACATTTAGAGTATAAAAAAATGATTCTTCAACATAAAATAAAGGTGATAAGTGTGAGTTACATAGACATATACTAGTGCTCTTAACAACCAAATACTACTTCCAATTTCTCAAAAAACAAATAAGACCTGCAGTGTTTTGTATTGACTACAACGACTCACACATAATGAATCAGCTTGTTATAAAAGGCCAGACTTCATTTTAACAAATGACCCCTCAAGCTCATTTTTGGCCTTCCTCAGACCACAGCTTGTTTCTGTGAGACCCTTACCTACACTTCAATCTACCAAGCACCAACTCTTTTAAACCGAGCACATGACAACACCACCTGTATCACAAGAATACGTCTCTAGTCTAAACAACATTGCTTTGCAGGTCCTTTACTTAAGAGCACACTGAAAATATACATTCGGCTTGTGTCATGGTTGACAGGTAAAAATTAAGGTAAATGAACGGTAAAAATGTTGTCAAACGCCTTCACAAACAAACATAAAAACAAAATCAAAGTGATGGCTCATTATCTGATTTTTCAAAAACCTGAGCTGCTGTCAGAGCAATGGTTCACCTGCTGACATTTTGGCAAAGTACCCACAACTTATTACATGAGCCAATAAATGTTTCTACCGGAATTCTGGTGCAATTTTCACATACTTACACTATACATGATAACAAGCATAACAGGATCATGTACTCATGGAAAAACTGATCCTGATATGCTAAAATCTGGTGGGATCTTCTGTCCCCTTAATTGCTGATTGTTTGCTATCTGCATAATCACTACTATGTTTAGTTTATTAATGCACACAGGGTACTTTCTATCAGGGTTTTAAGATCCATATATTTTACCATTTTAAAGTGGAAAATATGTCCAAAGAAATACATAAATGTAAGTAAAGAAACACCCTGGTCCGATCTTCACCTTATAAGTGTTTGTTTGACTGTCAACGTATGTCCTGTACAGTCACTGATGAAAGGCAGGTTTTTTCTGTAGATCTACTTTGAGTTAAGTAGGAACCATACCAGTCAGCTGGTATGCAAAGCATATTTACAGGTCATTTTTAAAAAGCACTGTTATCCTGTAACAACTAGGCACAAAGAGGTAACGGCTATAGTGGCAGGTATTTGTTTCATGGATGGATGTACACAGTCAAGGCCTGATTAACTGGTCCTCATAAGAAAACAAAAGAAACATAACCTAAAAGTTCAGACAAATCACCCTTATATGTATGAAATGTTCAATACTGTTTGTTACCAGGAGTCCAAAGGAATGTGAAGACGTGTCCACCACAGACGGTAGGTTTAGTGTGAAGGCAGGGTTGCAGTGTTGGCCGCACTGAGCTGACCTACAGCTAACATCAGGATATCTTTCTTCTCTTTGTAAAAACGCAGTTCTCGGCCGGCCAGCCTGGCATCCTCCAGCTCTCGCTCCGTGGAGGCCAGCTCCTGAGCAATAGTGCCTGCTACGCTCTGTTCTCGATTCACCCAGTCGGCAGCCATCTGAGTGCGCATGTCATCATCCAGAGCCCGGTGAGAATAGTGAGCCAGCACCTCCTGCAATGTTCAGCAACATCAAAATATCAAAGCTAAGCATTTGCATTTCTGCACTGGCGTCAACTGTGAATCTAGTATAATTCCTGTGAATCTTCAGCCATGGCTCCAGCGAAAATAAAGATGTCAGGTCATATTCTTTAAATTTCATGATTCACCTCATTGGGGGGGAAACCGCTGTGCAGAAGCAATGTCCCAGCCAGGAGTAAATAAGGAGCACAGCCAAAGTTAGCTAAAGAAAGCACTATGTGTGTTTCATTTTTACACAAAATAAACAACTTTTTGCATGTATTTCAAATCTGCCACTCGTCTCTGAGTCTGTGCCCCACCCTGTCCAAAATTTTCTGGATCTGCTGCTGGTCTCATACAAAAGATTGTCCAGTGAGACTTATTGAATAAACATACAGTGCCTTGCGAAAGTATTCAGCCCCCTTGAACTTTGCGACCTTTTGCCACATTTCAGGCTTCAAACATAAAGATATAAAACTGTAATTTTTTGTGAAGAATCAACAACAAGTGGGACACAATCATGAAGTGGAACGAAATTTATTGGATATTTCAAACTTTTTTAACAAATAAAAAAACTGAAAAATTGGGCGTGCAAAATTATTCAGCCCCTTTACTTTCAGTGCAGCAAACTCTCTCCAGAAGTTCAGTGAGGATCTCTGAATGATCCAATGTTGACCTAAATAACTAATGATGATAAATAGAATCCACCTGTGTGGAATCAAGTCTCCATATAAATGCACCTGCACTGTGATAGTCTCAGAGGTCCGTTTAAAGCACAGAGAGCATCATGAAGAACAAGGAACACACCAGGCAGGTCCAAGATACTGTTGTGGAGAAGTTTAAAGCCGGATTTGGATACAAAAAGATTTCCCAAGCTTTAAACATCCCAAGGAGCACTGTGCAAGCGATAATATTGAAATGGAAGGAGTATCAGACCACTGCAAATCTACCAAGACCTGGCCGTCCCTCTAAACTTTCAGCGCATACAAGGAGAAGACTGATCAGAGAGGCAGCCAAGAGGCCCATGATCACTCTGGATGAACTGCAGAGATCTACAGCGGAGGTGGGAGACTCTGTCCATAGGACAACAATCAGTCGTATACTGCACAAATCTGGCCTTTATGGAAGAGTGGCAAGAAGAAAGCCATTTCTTAAAGATATCCATAAAAAGTGTCGTTTAAAGTTTGCCACAAGCCACCTGGGAGACACACCAAACATGTGGAAGAAGGTGCTCTGGTCAGATGAAACCAAAATCGAACTTTTTGGCAACAATGCAAAACATTATGTTTGGCGTAAAAGCAACACAGCTCATCACCCTGAACACACCATCCCCACTGTCAAACATGGTGGTGGCAGCATCATGGTTTGGGCCTGCTTTTCTTCAGCAGGGACAGGGAAGATGGTTAAAATTGATGGGAAGATGGATGGAGCCAAATACAGGACCATTCTGGAAGGAAACCTGATGGAGTCTGCAAAAGACCTGAGACTGGGACGGAGATTTGTCTTCCAACAAGACAATGATCCAAAACATAAAGCAAAATCTACAATGGAATGGTTCACAAATAAACATATCCAGGTGTTAGAATGGCCAAGTCAAAGTCCAGACCTGAATCCAATCAAGAATCTGTGGAAAGAACTGAAAACTGCTGTTCACAAACGCTCTCCATCCAACCTCACTGAGCTCGAGCTGTTTTGCAAGGAGGAATGGGCAAAAATTTCAGTCTCTCGATGTGCAAAACTGATAGACATACCCCAAGCGACTTACAGCTGTAATCGCAGCAAAAGGTGGCGCTACAAAGTATTAACTTAAGGGGGCTGAATAATTTTGCACGCCCAATTTTTCAGTTTTTTATTTGTTAAAAAAGTTTGAAATATCCAATAAATTTCATTCCACTTCATGATTGTGTCCCACTTGTTGTTGATTCTTCACAAAAAATTACAGTTTTATATCTTTATGTTTGAAGCCTGAAATGTGGCAAAAGGTCGCAAAGTTCAAGGGGGCCGAATACTTTCGCAAGGCACTGTAGCTTCAATAACGTCCATCTTTTAGGTAGCCTATTTTAGAATTTGTGGTGTCCTTATTTATCAGCATTGCTGCCACTCATGGCAAGAAGAAAAAGGTGTCTGATTTATTTGAACAGTCACATTACAGTATGTTCAAAAAAACTTGACATATAATGAGGTCACTTAAACAAAAAAACCTAATGTGAAAGCTGAAAACTACTGCTGTACTTGTATAATTGTGAGAGGGGCTTAAATATCACACAGTACCTGTCGGGAACACTGTCGTTCTCTCATGGCTTTGAGGCTTCCATTCCAGTGCAGCAGCTGGAATACAGTCATCAGCTCCTGAAACACAAACACAGTCAACCCAACAGAAATAAAAAACCAAAGTCACTTTAAAAAGTCAATATTTAGTCATTCAGCATTGCAAACCATGGATGCTGCCTTCAGAGTTCCGATAAAATGGGTTTAAGATGTCCTAGCAGCAAAGTCAGGTCACATATTGGTTCAGACTTCTGTACTGTGTGTAACCCCACTGGAGATCCATGAGTTGCATCGCATTCATTGTTAGTATATTTGTCAAAGGGTGTTGCTAGCATGCTACAAAAATACAAGCTATAAATTGCTTTAAAAACATATTTTGGTCTCTATTGTATATACACCCAGCCATACTCAG